ACACACACACACATATATATATATATATATATATATATATATATATATATATATATATATATATATATATATATATATATATATATGTATGTATATATATCTGTGTGTATATATTTATATATGTATATGTATACATATATGTATATATATGTATATATGTATTTATGTATATGTGTGTATATATATACATATGTATATATACATATATGTAGTTGTCAGCCTTCCTACACGCATGCCAGCTACCCCTTGCAAGATCTGAATAGGATTGAAAGTCCATGAATATCGAATGGTCCCATAAGCACTTTCGCCCACCCCTGAATAATCAGTAAGGCGTGGGTTTGTTGGAACCACTTTGTCGAGAGAATCCATTTCGCTAGTTGTTACAGTGCATAAACGAGCCCAATCAACTTTTAGAGTTGAGTTTTAGTTTCCTACCAGCCAATCTTTGCTTGAGCTTGGCTTTCAATTACTAGCACTCCCATAGATCACAGTTCAGATTCAATTTGACTGATCTATTTGTCAGCTGTCTTTTTTAAATATCATTTCATCCCGATATTTACCTTCCGAGCATATCTTAGGCCAGTCCTCTCTTCTATGTTCTAGATGCTTTCTTCGTACTTTTCAGACCCAAAGGTGCTATCATGCTTTTTTTTGTTCATTAACAAAATATTTGACACATTGATAATGGTTGTCCTTTATCCTCTTTCTTACCATTTCTTTGAATCCAAGATGACGGTTCATATAGTTTTGGAGGCTTAATCATCTGATTGAGATCCATGATCTATGCTGGTGTAGAACAAGTTTATAATTGTATTACAATACTTGAACTCTTAATTTTGATGTCCAGCATCAAATTTTTTGACTATTATAATTGATGGACTCGATCTAGTGAGACAGACATTGTTCCTAATTCAATTATTATGTTTGATCTATCAGATTTTTTCAATCTAGCCAAGAACACGATTGACAATTTAAAATTTGATCAGCTCATTCATAGAGGAATGACTAGTTTTTTTTTTTTTTCCAAATTTGACCCTTGAACGGAAAGCATTTCAAGATTTTAGTACATTATAAAAGCTAATTGAGAAAGCATTGAGCTACTGTGTAGGTTCATATGCAGAACAAGAACTTAAAATAATATTTCTTTAATTTATTTGAACTCTTGTGAAATATTTTAGTTTTTCATTAAAGGAGTCATTTTTTTCTTTTTTTAAGGTGCTTCTTTTATTGCAAATATATGCCATATCAACGTTTACTGATGTTGCATCATATTCATTGGCTATGGGATAATTTCGAAGGGATACCTTTGCAGCATACAAGTAGGTTCTTTTCAAAGGGATACCTTGCAACATACAAGTGTCCTTTACATGTTATTTGATCTGTTTCACCAAAGGGGAAAAAAAAATCTACCTTCTGCAGATGAATTAATTGCATTTATCATTTTAGTAATAGCTTACCAAGAAACATGGTCATCGGTTTTTCCCATATTTATTCTAGTAATCTTTTCTTTTATATCTGAAACTATAGTGAATCATGTCCTGCGTGATAACATGATCATGTGAGCTTTTTGACGAATTCCCAAACCTGTTTATTGACACTGTAGTAATAATATCACCACCAACAATTCCACTCACCGAAAACAATGTGTCTAGCAGTCGCAGACCACATTAGTGATGTTCCTTCCCAGATGTTCAAAAGGAGTGAACTAACCATTTATTGTATGTATCTCAATAAATTATTGTCACCAATCTCCACTATAATTAAAATTCTGCAAAAAGGCTGCATCCTACATAATCCTATACTTTTGGTTCCATCCGTAGATACCGTAGGCTGCTGTTGTTTGGCGGGCTGGAATTTCTGAAGTTGAATTCTGATTTTCCTTTATATCATTGTTTTTTTCATGTTGTTGACATGGCTCTAGTATTTTGTATTTTCATGGTCCATCATAGGCTGTTTCTGTGGAATCACAGTGCACAATCGTTCAAACTTAGCTGGCTGCTGCCCAAGGGAAGTTAGCTGTACTGGAGAAGCAAAAGGAAGACACCCTGCCTGACATATTTGCCATCAGCTCTCTTGGAGAGTTGCACAGTGAACTCATTTTCCTTGTAGTCATAAGAAAGCATGAAATCCAACAATTTGTAGCCATTATTTTCCATCATATAGATATTTGTACAACTCGACCATGTTGGAGAAGCGATAGGTAGCTGCATGATACATATTCATCCTGTTGCATGTGCATTACAAGGTTGCAGATACACATGATAGCATTGTGCGCCTCCTTGTACATCATTATAATATGTCTACAGTCTGCCCATTTAATACACATGAATGCCATTCATATATGCAGTGATATGCCTATATTTAAATACAAGTATTTGCATAAATCTGTATTGCTGAAACCTCATTTATGCATTTGTTTATTGTGTAATGCTCATTTTAAGTCCGGGTTATTCTTTTCCAGAGGCTATAATTAAGTGGCAGAGGAGTCTGAGGTGCCATGCAGGGAAGAGTTTAACCTTCCTACGTTTGTCCAGAAGTACAAGAAGCTCCGGAATAATGAGTTTAATCTTCCCACTTTTCTCTAGAAGTACAAGAAGCTCCACTGGCACTTGTTTGTCTTGCTGCGAAGATATCTGATTTCCAAATTCAACTTGTTAAAAATAAAAATGTTGTCATTCACAATTCACATACAATACCACCTTATATGGTTTTGCCTAATTTTTCCTATTCTTTCTCTACCACGTTGTTGAAGTCCATCATCAGTGTCTGCACAGTTCATTACCTCACTGTGTCAAATTATGATTCATCCTACAATCAAGTAGGAAGTAGGGTGTACTAAGCAGGTGGCAACATATGTGTATATGTTTTGTTTGATTCATATTGTTGGTCCGAAAAGTGGGGGACATTTGTATTCAGTGGACCTGATGATGCATCATGTAGTCTTCATCACTTCACATGCCCCTACATTCGATTGATTTCCATATGATCTGACTACAAGCATTGAACCCATGAATGGTGTTTACAGCTGAAGGGCAGAAGAATGAGCTACCATAGAGGCATGAAGTGCTTGAAAATATTACTTTCATGAAGTTCCTGGAACGGTTTGTCTGAAAACTTTGAATTCCTTTAGAGCATTACCGTAGAAATCATTTGATATCAACTCTTCTTTTTCCTACTGATTTCAGGGACTCTGGAATGTGTTTCAGAGATGGAATTTTCTCCTCTGCGTCCCCTTCTACAGGTGTCATTCTTGAACTCCTTGCATGGTTTCTTACATCCAGCATCTCATATGCATTTCGTGGCCTCAACTACAAATGGGACGGTTAAAGCTGTGATTCAACAGTCGGTGTAAGCAGAGGCCCACACAAGACGAGACAAAATAATGGAAGAGGAAAAAGAGTGATTGCCGACGCGTCTCTGACACGCTTATGCTGGAAAATGCATGTACTGCAACGCGTTTGACAGGTTGGAGGTACTTCCTGCCACCCTAGACATCAAACCACACCGTTCTGCATCTTTAATATTGCAACACATTGAATTATTTCATTATGCAGATGAAAATGGCAAATGAATAGTACACTTCCACCACCATTGCAATCTCCACCATCATATGTCCCCTTTGGGCTACTCAAACAAAGGAAGAATACCAGACTCTTCCACCTTAACCAGGAAGAGAAACATTTATCTTCTACCAACACAACTACAGGTAACAACGACAACAACACAGCTCATTTTGAGTCCACCAGTTTTGCAGTCTGCAGCTAATTCAGCCCCAGCACTCTGGAGTCAGGGCATGATCTCTCTTAGGATCCATGCAGTAATTGTACACCATGTAGTTGCTCTGCGCCCATTGCATGGCTGCATACTGCTGGGGGCTGAGCCCGGAGCCGGACTGTGACGACGGTGCCTGGCGGCAGCTTGACGGAGCATACGCCGAGCACCCTCGAATGATGAACCTGGTGAACCTTGCGACGAACGGCTGGTACCGGTAGTCGACCCTGTACTTGCCTCTGTCCGTGGCCCAAGATGATGCATCCCAGATGGTTCCATACATCCACATTGGCCGCATCGGAAATGTGTTTTCGCTCTTCCTCGGATACCGCCGTATAGGTATGTCGTCCACAAAGAATCTGCAGGCACAAATGGCTGTCATCTTCTACAGTCCACGCTCCAAAGAGAGCATCGTTCACAAGGCCACACACTCTACCAAGTTTAGCTGTTTCAGACCCTGCCACTACTTTTGCTCTTGCCTAGTTACATGGGATGTTGTACATGTAGATACCTTTTGGTGTCTGGTTGACAAAATCAGCCATCAAATCAGTCATTGTTCTTGATAGGTAGCATTTTATATTTACTATTTCCCTCTTGGCAGATTAGGTTTGGTAACATACTCCTACCCTTTTATAATAACACCGTGGTGAGGCCCAGTCTTAGCATTCAATGGCAAACACTATTTACTACTGTACAAGAAGATAAGAAGGGAACTTCTCTTTCGTTTATCATTGGGTTCTTCAATTTAGGTGAACTAATCTTTATATTCCCAGACTTGCAGTTGGGAAAGACAAGTTTTCACATGTCCAACAAGATCAGGAGGAGGTCAAGAGTTCAAACCAAAATGAATCAAAAGGAGTCCCAGTTGACACAGGTGATTTACTTACATGATCTCGTCTGGGTTCCACAGGATGGCATAGTTGTGGAAATCGGCAGTCGGGTCAAACCAAAGGTGGAACTTCATCTCCCTCCCAACATATCTACTATCGCCGCTGCCCCTGATGTACACATTGGTCTGCAATCTGTATGGCTTTCCTGGAGTATTCCCCATGAACTCAATGTCCACCTCATCATGGAACCCAGGATGTACCTGGTTATTAGAAAGCTGCAGTCCAACGATTTCAGCAACAGCATTGTCAAACAAACGATGCAAGGTAACATTTTAATGTTGTAATATAATTTTGTCCAGGCTCAATCCTCCTCACATAGAAAGCAGTGATCACTCCTGCAGTGTATCCAGCTTGGAGCTTGATGGATGCCGCAAAATACCCACTTCGATAAGGGCGATTCGACTTGAATCCGCTTCCTGTCACCAGTAGAATATGAGCAGGATTAGCATGACGAGATAGAGATGGAGTTCCTGGAGGTAGAGTGAGGAAACCTGAGTTCCTATCGAGCCAAATGGTCGCTGAGGACTGGTCTCCGGAGACTGTTTGATGCTGAGGCCCCCAGAGGTTGCTGTACCCATGGTAGAAGCCAGGCAAAGGCTTGAACCTGTGGCTCGGGTAGTATCCAGGAGAAGGCTGACCACTGCTCCAATGCAGCATGGAGATCAGGATGGAGGAGAGGAGGAGAAGGAGGAGAGCCATGGAGAGAGTATATGCCCTCAGTGACACACTGCAGTCAAATGCTTGGATCTTGGAAATATATGGCAATGCAGTTGGTATGAAGTGGAAGAAGATTTAATGGCTCCTATCACCACAAGGCTCCTAAGAGATGGATATACTGATAGGGAACTCTAGAAGGAGACAAGGACCTGAAGGATTGGGTGGAAATGATGTGGAAGGAAGGAATGGTGAGATCCAGAAGCCCCAAGGGAAGGTTGGTGAAGAGGAAGTTCTGTGTGGTTCTCCTACCTCCTCACCATCACTATTTTTCACTTGCCTTGAAGCAAGGGAAAGGGGGTGGAGGAGTGGGGAGGGCTGGGCATGGGTGGATGGCTGCCTGTGTGTAGGGCAAAGGGAAGCTCAGAGCAAGTGTATTCTGTGGATTATAAGATAACTCGACATGGATACAGACCAATAACTAATGTAAGACTTGCTTGACCTATCAGATGGCTGCTCATCACCCACATCTTTGCTTTTGACCCCTCCTACATTGGGCCATGAGAAAGTAGATCCAGGCATCTAACTCATTATATCTAGCTGTAAGTATGTTGTTAGAACTTGACAGCAGGCCACCAAAAGGTCCAAAGCATTCAATAATAATGGCATGGGAACTGGATTGCTGCATTTAGGGCAGCAATCTTACAGGCAAGCCTGCAAGGAACAGATTGGCCAACTTTTTGATGAGTGAAATGATTATTGTGCCTTGTGTTACTGTTTCATATAAGGAACTATGCAGAATTCACCTGTGATGAATTCTAATATTGACACTTTTATGGGGTTCAACTCTAATGAATTCCTGTGTGGGGTTCTCAACTGTAGCTTACATCAACAGATATTTGTTTCCTGACCCCCCAAAAAAATCCTAATATTGTGACTATAAGTTCCAATTATAACCAAAGATTTAATCATCCAAATAACTTTAAAATGCCAAATTATTCTATAATTGATAATTGGATTTAAAGTAATTTCCTAATTATTCTTTCATATTCACATTTAATTTGATTTTTTTTTTGTCTTTTGGTGAAGGGTATGTGGTGGGCTTAGGATTCGATTTCAAAACCTTGCTATCTACTTACTAACATTTAATGCTGGACCCTCTTATCTCATTAAATGATATCATCTAATTTTTGCCTATGGATGAAAAGAAAAAAAAAAGGGAAAAGAAATATAATTCTTAATATACAACCAATAGGACTGAATTCCACACACCTAAATAGTGGGGAAGGACAATGAGAATGTGCCACTCACTTGCCAAGTTCCAATAATAAATCCTTATCCAAAGGAAACTAATACTTCAAACCCTCCTCATGCTAAAATTTTTTTTCTCCCCAATCCAATAGATATATTTTTACAGAGGAAATGAAATTAAGTACACTATATTATTAGCCAAAATTTCCTATATCAATAAATTTTTTTACATTTTTATTTTATAATTACTTTTTCAAAAGTAAGCCGCTCTTGTAAAACATCAACATACAATAAAATCGGATAAAAAATAAAATCAAAATTATAAATACTAATTGGACAAAAATTTTAGTGTTCTATCATATTGACATAGTACTAGCTCCGATTTTATTCAATAGTAATAAATCAATGTCATTTGCATCCAATAGAAAGAATTTGAAGAGAAATAACTTATATTTTTACTTTTAAGGGGATAAAAGAAAAAAATTGTACATTTGTCTCACCTTACAAACTATCAAGTAACCTTACAAATTGGAAACCAAAAAATACAATAAAAAATGCATTAATATTCTTTTCTTATATTTATTTACCAATGAGGAGATGACACTATATGTATCATGACCATATAAAGTTAATCTAATCACCTAAAGGCCAAAGAAGTCATGACACTTGGATGGCCTCTTTTGCCGACAACGTGTATTGTTGCTTGTTAGTGTGTGCAAAGGTTACCCGTGAACAGAGTTATTCCCACAGATCTGAGCACCACCTCAAGGGCATGAGGGTGGACCAAATGCAACTCCCACCCCATCGTCTCATATACATCATACTCACATGCAATCATTCTATGTGTATGGTTTGGGTAGGAAAACCAAATTGATATTGTTCATGATTAACCAAGACTAAGTAGTGCACTATGATTGATGTCCTTTGTCGAACCGCTTAATGATTGAAAGGTGTTGATGGAGATCCGAATTCGATCAAGATTTTAAATAGATATCGGGTGAGACTTTATGTTTGATTGAATATCTAAATCATACATAAAATTTTATCTAATGATTCATCATAAATATATATTTTTTATAATAATAAGTTTTAATTAGGATTAAGATAATCTTAGTTTATTGGTTGATCAGGCTCTAGTCTACCCTAAATATGATTGTCCCAATTGAACTCATTCTCATTTCTCACTTCTATTTAACATAAAAGTATCCATCTATCTACATGTAGGGATGATGATGTCTTTGCCTTTATTGAGCTCAAATTCCTGAAATTGTTGAATATATAATTTATATGATGAAAAATACTGAATAAGAAAAGGCTATGATTGAGGTCTTAAATATCCAAAGTTGAAACTCTCAGTTCTTTGTTCCTCTTCTCCTCAAGTGCCTCTTCAAATAATTTAAAAGGACAAGATCATACTAATCATGTGGATAATACAGTGCTCTTCTTCATTCAATAAGGAGGTGCGCTTGCTTTTGATGAGCCCTATGCCAATGTTGTGACTTGGGAGGAGGAAGACAACTCCTCATGTCCCCATTTAATAGTCTTCACTGCCGACACATCTTTTATATCATAAAAAACCATTTACTCAAAAATTATATATATATATATATATATAAAGAGAGAGAAAAAAAAAGATCAACATATGTGAAAAGTAATTCTTCTTTTTGTGATTATTTTTCACAACACTGCATGTGCACATCATGTTTACAATATATTTATTCTTCTGTACAGTGCAATTTTAGATGGGGAAAATAAGAGAGATTTATATCAATTGGATTCTATATTTTCACTTTTAGCTCTATCTTTTTCACTCTATTCCTAATCCATAAAACAATGAACATTTTCTTGATGATCTTTTTTAAATAATTTATTATTATCACATGCAAGGAAAGCAATATATATATATATATATATATATATTATTATTAATAAATTATTAATATTTTATTAAAAAATAAACCATCATAAATAGTAGAGAGAGAGAGAGAGGACCACATTGATTTAAAGAAGTGAAGAATAACCTATAGTTCACGGTGTATTTGAGTTGTCATGGTCCCCCTTCTCATCGGAATTTGAATGATTAATTATAAATTACCTTTAGTTATATTTAGTATTTTAGTCTCTATATTTTAAAAAAAATATATTAGCATTTATATAGTAATGAAAGTGGTTTACATTTAGATCTATTTATCCTAAAGTCATCGATTTTACCAATGAAAATACAAAAATAAAAGACAACAAGATAATTTTAATGTTTCAATTTAGTGATGACAGATGATAGCGTCACCGAGGCTTACTTTGCATTTGTGTCGATGCTGACCCAAAAGCAGAGCAACGTTACAAGTCCACATGCACCTTTATTCAACATGAACTATATATATTATTGCATATATATATGTATGTATGTATATATATGTATATCATGAAAATGACATACAATTGTAAATTATAGAAAAATGAAAACAAAATTCAAGTTGTTACAAGTTTGTTCATGCACAAGTAAGAATGGAGAGATGTTGCAAGTCCACATGCACCTTTATTCAACATGAACTATGTATGCAAAGTCCACCTTCATCCAAAGCCCACTCAATATTGTCTTCCTCTCATGCTTTCATAATGTAAATTTTAGATATCTCAAATATCATGGATCATGAAGGTAGGCACTCTTAATTGCATAAATAATCTATCATGATCCAAACTTTAATACCATGTTAGCCAATCACCCTCTCTCTCTCTCTCTCTTCTAAGAGTGACAACTTTAGTTTTTGTCACAAACTTCTACTGAATCAGTTTGAAGTTGTTGCCTGACATGATAAGAACAGGTTGGTAGCTCAGGATTACTCGACGCTCTTCCGGAGAGGAAGGCATGCATGAGTTTGTAAGAAGGTTAGTGAGGTTGAGGGGGAACTCAGCCGCTCTGTAGACATGCTATAAATCTCCATAGATATAAAATCATGAGCTCAGAATCTCAGCTCTCAGTTGAACAAGTGAAGAAAATTGGTGGTGATTAAGTTTGGAGAGAAGACATATAAAATCATGGTTTAGTCCTTATCGAAAGTGGGAGAAGACTTGAATCTCTTCTAAAAGATTAATGGATCTATCATAATTGACTAATGGGATCGTAATGGATTAATTCAAATCAAAGATGTCGTCTTCCACATATGGGATTTCAAAATTTTGTCTATAGTTTTGGTCCCAAAAATTGAGATATTATAATTTGTTGTTATTATTATATATGCCAACTTTTTTCTTTAAATTACAGTATTATCAGAATGATGCTATTTTAATTTCCATGCCCAAATGTTGTTTATACTCTACTATTTAAATTTCCTTTTTGGTCCAAAATAATTGAGACATTACAATTTGTTGTTTTTATTATATATGTTAATTTCTTTCTTTAAATTACAATATTATTCTTATTTGTTTTTTGATATATACACATCTCAAAAGTTTATATTAAATATCATAAGAGTTATTAAAATTAGCTAAGAATACTGAATAATATTTATAATTCCAAGTATAGTTTAATATATTTTGCATCGATATCATACAGGATCAGTCGAGATCCCTAAGGATATGGGAAGATGGGTTAGAAGAAACGTTATACTCGAGATCCCACAATCAGATATTTTAGTAAATACTTGATAGATAATATAAAATATAAAGATAAATATTTTAATAAATACTCGATAAACATGTAATAAGGGATTCAAAATAATCCATTTTTCATTAGTGCCCACATGATATTACTCTAGAAAAATACAATGAATCTGCTTTAGACTATTCATAAGAGATCACGGATATACACACAAGGGTGACGTACGATTTATATAAATTTAACTTTATTATTTATTCTTTATAAAATAAATATATATATTTTTAAATATTATTATTGGATTCAAAGAAGATCAATATATATTATTATTTTTTTAAGAGATTATTTTCATGATTCAAAATTTTAATGGTGCCATAAATAACGCACCATCAATGCCATTAATTTTGTACTCTAACCCGACCCCCTTATGCGGGTCTCGTGGGCCCCGCTTAATAGGCATGTGAAAGAGTGCAGCAAGTGAGGTAGGATTTTTGGTACGCGTAATCGGGCTCAACTGTGGATCCACCGTTTCAAACCGGCTTAACGTGCCGATGCTGCTGCCCAAATCTGGGGTTCCCCGTTGACTGCGTCCGGAGAAGACGGCGACGAGGACGACGATGACGAAGACATAATCCTGCGCACACCACAAGAACGAGAGGAGAAGGAAGAAGGGGTTCGTGTCTCCCTTCCCCTTGATCGATCGCTCGAACGAACGAGCGAGGGCGCTCCTCCTCGCGCGCCCAGATCTGCAAAGAGCCAAGGTGAAGATCCCCGCCTCTGATCCTTTATCGATCGTTACCTCGATCCTTGTTTCAAATCCTTGATAAGATCGCTGAGTCGTGGACTTGTAAGGAAATGCGATCTTGGTCTCCTCTTCTTTTGATTGCTTCCCTTGACGAGGCTAATTAGATAGGCTTGCTGTTTAGGGTATGATAGCTTAGCTTATTTGAAAGATCTCTACATATATGCTGACTAGCATTATGAATTCTGAGTTTTGCTTATTACTAGCAAAAGGGTTTGTCGTGTCATGGCCTTGCGGAATGCACTTGGGATGCTTGTATCACAATGGCTTTATTGTAGGTTCTAGATATTCTAATCACTGGTTTTAAAGCTCATACCACTCCTGTTATTTTGTGCTCAATCATTCAGCTGATATGGATTTATGATCCTAAAAGCTGTTTGAAATTGTCTCGCCGTACGCTGAAGAGAGAAACTCTAACGTCTGTCAGAAATCTTGATAATTGTTGATATCAAGTATGTATCAGGGAAAATTTGGATTTGTTAATTTAGAATGTATATTTCTTTCTTATGGTTTGGTTTTGCTTATCTGTTCATTTTTTTTTTCTTGGACTCCAATTTCATAAATTTTGAAGAAACCTGCTTTGACTTACAAGATGCTGCATAGCTTTTTTGCTGCAGTTGGATATGTCAGAACAATATAGATATCTTTCTAGGGACTGTTTAGTTTGTTTTAAGTTTTTTAGTGGGATGGGCAATGCATCATATTGGTTAGCGTCACAATCAAGGGTGGACTTGAGACTGTTCCTCTGCAGATATTATGTGTGGTGGATAAGGGCCACAACTTAACTCTGGACCCTGATCACAAATTTGCATTGTTTTTACACAACTGTCTGGTCAATAAAACTGGTTATTCACTTCATCTTTTTCGCAATTGAATGGAGATTTTTCTTTAAAAAATCACAAGAAAATTCAGTGTTACTATGAAGTGACTTGAGAATTCAGTGTTACCTGCTCTTGATGAAGCAAGATTGATCTAATAATTCAGGGTGTTGCTCAATGCTCATCACAGTTAAGATTTGACAATTCTGTTGGCATGGGAAATTTTAAGTGTTGTACACAAGTTTTACTTAGTATCCATTATGACTTGATATAAACAAGAAAAGGTCAAGATTCTTGCACAATTTGATGCTTCCAGTATTCGTGTAAGTGTGTGTGCAAATGCATTAATTGAAATTAAAAAAAGATGCAACCATGAAGTGCGAAATGATGTGACATAATTTACCTTGTATTTTAGAAACTCATTCCATTTATTATAGGAGTGGGAAAAAAATGTTGTTTCGGTAATATTGGCAGAACAAACTAAGTGACCAGATAGAAACATGCCATGTTATGCTTTTACATGCTTCTTCCCACATTGTCCTTTAATTGTTAAAGTACTTAGGTTGAAGAGTATTATGATCACATAGTACATGCACAAAAGAGAACCAAACATTGAAGCATGAGGCATTTGATTTTTTTTTTTGAGCAGGCTGAGCATGTGGTAGAGACTAGAGACACTAACAAAGCGTTAGCTGATAGATACAATGCCTTTATGGTAGAAAATTCTTGAAATTAGTTAGTTGATATCAGCAATAAACACAGTATTTACAACTTTGCAGGCAGGATGAAGAAAGAGAGATAGCAGCATATAGAAAATATTAGGGCTAAAGTCTCATATGAAGGCCTTGGGTTGGAATCATTTTTGAAGCAATATGGTGCACAAAGATGACCATGCAGATATTAGATGCTGTTAGTCCAACCAAAGATTTAAATGCTGGTTAGACCAGCATGTAGTGATTGGCATTTATCAGTCCGACCAAGTACCAATATCAAAACATATAGCTTGATAATAGGACACTATAATACAATTTGGGTTTTTTTTATTACTTGTATGTAATGATACCAGGCATGATAAGTCAATTAACCACCTTGTATACATGCCTCATGCTGGTCCAATAGGTTACCAAAACTGATATTTAAATCTTTGGATCCAACTAGGAATTGTCATGTATACTATGGTGCAGGGATAACAGCGAGGATTTTGTATAAGATAATTTCTTTTCTTTTTGGACTTAGGATTATGTGTAGTTGCATCATCCTTTATTTGCTCAACTGTTAATTGTTTCACTTTTGCATGTCACTAATTTTATAAGAAATTTAAACATAATGATTATTGTACTATAATATCTACTTTCCAAGTCAATAACTTAGATTGTTTTTCAGATTATTCCTAAAAATGAACAACAATTTGTCATTTTCTAATGACTTCCTTTGTTACTGATCATATGTTAAATTTGTACATTTAATGAATTTTTTTTGTTTTTCTAGATTGCTATGGATGCCACCGATGTCAGTGAAAATTCAGATATTACTGCTTTTATATCTTTAGCAAGCTATGACCAGTGGTTTTCACTTTGTCCTTCTGGTTGGTGCCCACCATCCCGTTATAAGGTACATATATGATGGTGACTCGATTATGACCTATGAAGTCATTCCATTGGTACCATGGTGTGACCTGGTTGTAGCCTGCATTCGTTCTCATATCAATGCTTTGAGAATAATTTCTACTATAGTTAATAATTTTTTTGTACCTCAGGAATTTAATTTTACTTTTCATCCACTGCTGACCTTTTTCTTTTTAAATCCTTGTAGCATGCAACAGAAATTGTTAACGAAAAGCTCTATGTAATTGGTGGAAGTCGTAATGGCCGATATCTATCAGATGTTCAGGTGATAAATTATCATTTGGAGTTATGATGATTATCAAGTAATAAGATTGGAGATAATGATATATGCTAAATTTTACAGGTTTTTGATTTTAGGACATTAAAATGGTCCACTTTAAGCCTCAAGGTAGACAATGATAGTTCTGAATTAGAAAAGATCAATTTGGAGAATGCATTTCCAGCAGTGGCAGATCATAGTTTGGTGAGTTTTTGGCAGTTGCGCAACAGAAAATATTTGTTGTATTTAAAACTTGACTTGTCGCTTATGATGTTGATCTTTTTACAAAAAATTCATATTCAGATGGTGTTGTCCTTATAAACAGGTTAAGTGGGAAAAGGGACTTCTAGTTGTTGCGGGCCATACAAAGGAATTGTCAGATAATGTGACAGGTAGATTTTTCATGGCATACTAAGCTAACTATTTTCTTCTAGTTATGTGCTTTGTCTATTGCTTGTGCTTGCATAAGTTACTACAGAAATGCCATAATCGTTTGTCCAACAACAAATTCTTATAACCATGGTCTGCGAATTCACTCTGGTAAGTATCAGCCAGTATTTACTGGACCAAAATGCGGATCACTCCTTTCTGGTGGTCCAGGTTTGATATTGAGTTGTCGCCTGGTAGCCCTTGAACTGGGGTTAGCATTAGGATTTAGCCCATTACGGGGCTTGAACCAGGCTCCCAGCCTGGTTTTGACCCTTTTTTCACTAGAGGTAACCCTAACCCTCCCCCCTGCACCCTTCTCTCTCTCTCTCTCTCTCTCTCTCTCTCTCTCTCTCTCTCTCGCATGCTCATGCTTGCCTCCTTTGTGCCACCTGCCATCATTGGCCTTTTGCTCACACTGCTGACCACTGTTGACCTGTCAGCCCATGCTTGGTATGCCTCTTCTTCCTCTTCCTTCTGCTTCTCTCCCCTTTTGATACCATAGTACATATTGGCATAGTTGATATAATATATATGAACTAACTTGTAATAGAAGCTGTTATTGGAGATCACTACAGGCATATTTGGTTCTTACTTCTAAATCTTTGGCTTTCATGATAGTGCCATTGAATGATCAATGAGTTTTTTTACTTGTAAATCTTAATAAGACTTATCTTCTTGATCTTGGTTTTGGGATGTGCTAATCAGCCAGTTAGTGTTATGTTACTTTAGTAGAGTGGGGCAATAACGATGTAGAATGAGACTCTTTTAAATGTTTATCGTGTATAAGAGTGCCTTGTAATATTTGAAAGAGTATGGTCCTGTCATATCTAAACTTTTGATACTTGGGGATTTCTAATAACCATTCATAGACGATTTTAACTATAAATAGTTCACCTCAGGTTCATGGCAGCTGGAGTGTGACCATTGGATAGAAAGTTATCATTCAACACTATGGAATGTCAAGCAACATGCTGCTTACACTTTACACGAGATCAAATCAAATAATATTAATCCAAAAGTTTAGATGTCACATGATAACATAAATTTCAAGCAATTAATTGAGTACTTTTTAATCATTAGGAAACTTGGCATAATATGAAAAGCCAAAATATTATAAATTGGTGGCTTTTCATGACTGTTCACTGTGTCACAGTTACATTACTCCTGACCTCCCCATATACCATTACCGATTATTAGCATATCTATTTAAAGTTTTATAACTTGTATTATATGCAATATCACAGATTGTAACTCATGTGTGACATGTTAGCTGGTAGTCCTATGTTTCTTATATTATAGCTATACTCTTAGGTTTGAATTTTGTTTGCTAAAAAATTCCCACTCTATATCTAATTGTCATTTATTGAATTGCAGTTTGGTCGATTGATCTAGATACAAACAACTGTTCCCTAGTACAGACCAATGGTAAAATTCCGGTAAAATTTGATCTCTGATTCCTGGTTCTGTTAACATCTCTTATTTTTTTCTCTTAGGATGTCAAATGTATTGTTTGTGTGCAAAGACTAGGAGTAGATATGTCTGTCAATTTTATGTACGAGTGAAAAATTTTTCTGGAAAATTGCTGAGAGCTTTGAGATATATGTCCGCTTCTTAACAGATAGCTCGAGGAGGGCAATCTGCAACTTTGGTTGGCTCCAAACTGTTTCTGTTTGGTGGAGAAGACAGGAAGAGGCATCTCCTAAATGACCTCCATATTCTTGATTTGACTACTATGACATGGGATGAAATTGAAATCAAGTATGCTTTTCAATTTTATATTAATTGGAGAAATCTGTGCAAAGGAGTATGTCATTCCATTTTCTTATGCAGGAACACGTCTCCAGCACCGAGGTTTGATCATACAGCTGCAGTTTATGGAGACCAATATCTTCTGATCTTTGGTGGTTCATCTCATTCAACCTGTTTCAATGATCTGCATTTACTTGACTTGTTGACCGTATGTATCCTTTTGTTAGCTTTGGTTCAACTCAGTTATAGGTTCATCACAAAATAGAGTTTGGTTGTGTTGTGTATAATATATGTGAATGGTCTAATCAACATTTGCACTGCCGATAATGTCTGTTTATGGATAATTGATATGGCTTAAGGAACCTGTAAAGTTGAACACGGACATAGGATACCAATACGGATGATTCAAATACACTGTTACATCAAATCTTGAAAAAATTAAAATGTTGCTACAAGGAAATTGACAGTAAAGAATATTGTAACATATAATATTATATTTGACAAAGTTTCATAATATTTATAGAACAAGCTAATTGTTCATCACGGTTCATAAAATATTTACTATATCGCACCTGACCTATGTATCATAAGGAATATTGTTCAAGCAATATAGTATGCCAATAATATAAAGAAGATACTAAGCATTTACGAAGTTGAAGGAAAAGCATTCTATTCATTTAACTAGCCATTAATGCTTAATGCATGCAACATATTCATGTTCATTATAGTCATTTGTGCATATCTATGATTAGAAAACCACTATTAAAGTAAAAGAATCCCAACAGGTATCTGATAAGTATTCCCTAGTCATGCTGAATTTTTTAACTATTCAAAAATTACATATTAAGAGGAAGTCTCAACATGTATCATAGAAGTGTACATGTACATCATAATCCAACATATATCCAGTACGGACCTAGCAAAGAAATTGAAGGATTGATGCTTCATGATAAGTAACTGTAATCTGTAGGCAAAATAGAGTCTGGAATTTTACTTCATTTTCTTCAGGATCTTCTATGCAAAGTTTAATGTAAGAAAGAAAAAAGACATGTGGAACCTCTGAACCAATCCATATTAAAAATGTTGATGTTTTGTTCTTATTTACATTGCTCCATGTCAATTAGTTGGTTTGCATTGCAGATGGAGTGGTCACAGCCACAGACTCAGGGTGCATATGTGACTCCTAGAGGTGGTCATGCTAGCACCATAGTAGATGAGAATTGGTATATAGTTGGTGGTGGAGATAATATGAGTGGTGACTGAACTTCTACTGATTTTCTTTTAATGCTTCTAGATATTGGAAATTAGTCTTCTTGATTGCTTATATAGTTAAAATCTGAAGTCTAGGATTTTGCTTACAGGTGCCACTGAAACCATTGTTTTGAACATATCAAAGTTTGTGTGGTCCATGGCCACAAGTGTTGGCAATCGTGAGCCCCTTGCTAGTGAGGTTATCATCTAGAACCTGATATTTTCTCTAGCTTTTGATCAGTTTTAGTTATTCTTGCAATGTATAATTGAACTAAGTCTGCATATCTAGTGCTTTTTGAAGGATTAACATATTCTTTTATTTATTATCTACATACTTGACTTCTCTAATTTGACACATTTGACCCTGCTTTGCATATGCTTATTATAAATATACATATCTAAATTTCCCTAGTTCTTTTTGCTAATGACATTTTCCTTTCTAGCCCCATGCTTGATCAATATTCCATAAGACCTGTGAATTTTGTAGCTTGCTCAGAGTGAGGCCCATGATGATGCAAGAATCGTGTCACTCAGACTGGCATATGCAGCTTACTCTACACTGTATTGATCACTTCTTCAAAGAGAATCATTTTAATAGTTTGCTTGCCACTTTGGAATGCAGTACCCTAAACTAATCTCTTATTCGTTTTTTGTGACATATCCCAACATGGATTGATGTCTTGCAGGAAATTGTCTTAAGATCTCTACCAAAAGCACACTCATTCCAGTTTGACTCTCTTAAGAAATATGAGGGTCTTACACATTACATTTGTTTATGAATCAGCCAAATAAGATAGGAAATTTTTTGGAAGGTATTGGGGGTTCGAAACATTATGCTTTTTAATTTGTTTTAGATTTTAGTTTTAATCATTTGAGATGATTTATTACGAAATTAATTATAAATGAGTTATACAATTCACATTTCGTAAGAATAGTAAAAATTTGCTTCTTATGAAATTAATTAATTTTAATTGTTTAAAATTTGTTTCGAACCTTTGTGAACATACTTCGAACATTTAGACAAGTATTAAAATTAGATGATAAAAAAGTGTGTGAAAATATTTTTACTTGTTTAAAAATATGTTTCAAACATTTGAATTTCAGATAAGTTTTAAACTATAATACATGCCAAAATGGCTGTCTCTTTTATATTTATAATTTTTTTTATTTTTCTGCATGTTTGTTTTTTATTTTTTAAATTGTTTTCTAGCTGAGACCGTTCTCTATCATATTGCTACTCGTCAATCAAAAGAGAATAATGTCAAATTTGAAATGCTAATATAGTAGTGTTGTTATGTAGGAAAGCCTAATTAGTGTTTTTGGTTCAGCCACTACCCACGTAGGCTCTAGGCAGCAACCCAACTATTAAATCCTTTGAAAAAAATATATCATCTAAGTTAATTCATAATACAGACAGGTTTACCAATAAAATAAAATATTATAATTTAAGCATGATGGAATTTTAAGATTGAATAAAACATATACCAATTGAACTGTGTAGCACAGCAGTTTAGTGTCAGAAATATTGTGGAACATAACCAGTAATGATGATTATTGTTTTTCACAATTGCACTTGCTGCAAATGTTCAAGCAATAGTTATGCTTGTTCTCACTATTGCAATCTATCTCTGCTGTGATTTCCAGCAACAATAGTAAAAGTTCCAATGATTGACTGGTACAATAGAGACTCAGACTGCTTTTATTTGGTGACAAACAGGGGAAAATTACAATAAGCAAATATGGAAAAAAATTAACAATTTCATTTTTAATTAGTTTCAATGAAAAAAATAGCATTCTCATATTCACTTATATATATATATATATATATATATATATATATATAGGGGTGATCTCCCCCATGCCATGTTCATACACCCTTTCTCTTCCAAGACAAAAAATTGGTGCTCAATTTACCTGAGGTGATTGTGAGACATGATACAATAATAATGTGACATATATGGGTGAGAGCTGTATGTTATTGAATAAGACATGTGTTTTTGTGATTAAATAGAAATCTTGGTTTTGATTACTGAATTTGGCTGTTGATGTCCCAAGCAAGATGCCAAGGGTGATTCCTATATGAGATGTCTATCATACCATTATAAGCAATTGTTTTGTAGACACAGAATATTTAGACAAAGTTATGCAATAATGATTAATTGGATATCAATAAAACTGGATGCCTTCTAACTTTGTTCAACTTTCTTTTAACTTCATCTACATATATTTCAGATCATGTGGTATGGGTAAACTCATCTCATGAAGTTATGAGGGAAAAAAAAAAGAATGGCACTTAATTGCACCACTAGATTCTGATATCATGTTACTGGTTCTTGACAGGGTCTTACTCTTTGCTCAACAATGATAGATGGTGAGAAGCTCTTAATTGCCTTTGGTGGTTATAATGGGAAGTACAACAATGAGGTATGCAAGAAGAGTAAAATCTCATTTCAGGCTAAATTTCTGACAGCTATTTCGAATCCTAATATGTCAGGATAAGATAAATTGCACATCACTAGTGAAGAAAGACCAATATTTTCATTTGAAAATGTTTCCATTTAACAATTGCAGTGCACATCAGTATGGCTTTTATGTCATACATTGGGGCAAATTCTTCTGTTGCAACAAATTTTTTTGAATGTTGTACACATGTTATTTGCATCTCCATGTTCATTGTATGCTCGATTATATAAGGTATTTATGTTTTATTTACCAAATTATGCTCATGAACTGGGGTGAGGCAGCACACCAAATTCTTAGGCTTCCTTTTATTTTTATTGTATAGCATGATTTCTTTTTTTTTTTCTTGTGAATTCCTGTCATTTGTATATACTTAATGGAGTTGTTTGTACTGATGTAAATTTTCAATTTTCTTTTAGGTGTTTGTTCTAAAAATTAAGCCTAAAGAGCCAATACGACCACGTCTTCTTCAATCACCTGCTGCAGCAGCTGCTGCAGCTTCTGTAACTGCAGCTTATGCCATAATTGCTGCAACCGATGAAAAAAACAATAGTAGTAAGAACATAGATGATTCAAACAGCAAGAGCAACCATGAGAGTGCCCAAAATGATACTGATAGTCTTAAAGCAGAAACGAAGATTTTAAAATCCAGGATAGTGGAAGTAAGAGATGAGAAGTCAAGGATACAGGCCAGAATTGATGAGTTGAATATTTCCCATACTGAATTATTAAAGGTAAATTTTCCGTCATGACAGTATTTACAATTTTGTAATTCTGAAACTTCTGCTTTTTCTGTTTCTCAAGGAACTTCAATCAGTTCAAAGTCAACTAGCTGCTGAAAGTGCAAGATGTCTAAAGTTAGAGGTATTTGATATTTTTGTTTCATCATCCATTTCATTCTTTGAGGATGATCATAGCCATTTGGTACTAAGTATTTTGTGTTCTCTTTTTCTTTCTGGGTCATTGTAGACAAATATTGCTCAGATACAGAAAAGCCTGGTCTCATTTAGCTCATTAGAAAATGAGCTTGAGGTCCTACGTCATCAGAAATCTCAAATGGAACAGGAGACAGTTGATGCTCAGAAGCAGAGATCAGGGGGTGTCTGGCAATGGTTGTCTGGCACCACACAAAACTCTGAACAATAAAATGTAAGATTATTTTGCTGTTCCCCAGTGAAAAAAAGATACTTGTTCTTCAGCTGTCAAAATTTTTGCTATTAATTAGTTTCTTCTGTCTGCCTGATGGGTGTTGTTTGTCATATAATATTGGTGAGCATTCTTATCAAATTGTTTGTAAGATACTAGTATTCTGAAATCTCTCAATTTGTCAGAGCAAATTGATACCCCAGTATGTTTAATATAGTTGATGAGAAAGCATACATTCTTTGTATTATATATAACTGAGAAGTACGGGGTCCATTATATCATTAGTCTAGGAGTGTTCTTCTGCTATACAAGGGTAGACGCCAATCAATCATCCCTTCAATATTCTTTTGATGATGTCACTCTTACGAAGATGGTATGATTAAATGAGATCCATCCTCTTTGCCACCTAATATAGCATGACCACAGGGCTCGCCAAGTTGGGATTGCACACCTATCCAATAACAATCAGGAAAATGTGCTTAGTCTTCATAATATGATCATTGTGGTGATCCTCATCGTCAATTTTAAGGGTATAATGATTGCTTGTCAGGTTTTGATGCCATTGGCAATGTTCCAAGGTGACCATTAAGGCATTTGTTTGCTAATTTATTGCTGCTTTGGCTTGTGTTATAAAAAAAGGCCTTGCTCTTAGGCCAGTCTGTCGGGACATGTTCTCATTTTATCATGCCATGGTTCAGAAAACTATCACCCCATACCATCATTTCAGACTTTATGATCAACTGAGCCATTGAAATGAGTCATAACTCATGGCATTTCAATCAATGGAGCATGACATCTATTAGTATTTCTTAGACTTGTACAATCTTGTTAACTCCTATATGATTTTTGTAGGTAATAAATCAAAGATTGACAGTAAGCATCTTCTATTGTTTTTTTTTTTTTTCGTTCTACGGTTGAACTTCAGTTCTAGTTAACACATCTACTTGTTTTGCTTTCATCTCTAAGTGTCTAAGTTTATGTTGACTTCATAGGTGCTACTTAATTGAAGTTCTAGAAATATCGGCACTGATATTGGTTAGAAACACATAAGCATTTATGGAAGTTCATATTTCCATGTTAGGTGAACAATTTTGGTAGGCTTTATATAGGATTACAATTTTTCTTCACCCCTTGGCTATATTTTCGTCTGCTCTATGATCTCATACACTTATTTCCGAAAAATATTTTTAGCTTACATGTATACAGGTATATTCTCTATTGTTCCACATGCATATTATAATCTGGGAAAGCACTGATTCATTCAATACCAGCAACTGCCGTCTTTTTCAGAACATTATTGTTAATGTAATTCTTCATCGCCCCAAATATTTGTAGGTTGTAGATAGAAAAGGGTTATATTATCCCCTGGAAAGATGCTATGACTTCTGCAAGGAGGAACAATTATTTCATGCCAACCGCTTTGTCAAGACTTTTCCGGCAGCTGAATACAGGATGCTGTATACTACATCCAAACTCCTTGTAACGCAGAGCCCTATGAGATCTCGAATTGTCACTTGAATTGTTTATCAGTGACACTAAATGAAAGAATTTTCCAGCTTCAAAATGTTTCGTTGCTTATTATGACATTGTTCTGAAGGCAAGGTTAACTCTGGCAGTAAAATAATAATGTTTTTCTCAGCATAGATTAGCTTGGATGGAATCTATGACAAGACGATACCAAATGCGAGAATTATGCATTTAGTCATCGAATGGTAATGGAAAAGGGAGCCAATGCTGTCTATTTGTTATGTGTAATCTTCGTGTTACATTCATAAATAAAGATTTTTATGAGATAGTGTTATGCTAAGATGAAGTTGATATTTTATTATTGTTGGAAATTTGGAGTCGACTCTCAGTTTTACGATTAAGTCCACTTCTTGTTTCTTTCTTGCATGGGCTTCAACCCAACCCGTTACCCGTTTTGGACATGGATCCAATCCGTTAGCAGGCCTACCGAGTCCGTATCAAAGCACGACTCCAAGAGTTCAGATCCGACCCGAACGAAGCAACCCCGCACGATCGATATAAGCAGAAGGAGATAAGACGCGAGCCAGAGCGAAGACAGAGAGGAATAGAAGGTACCGTAATGGCTTCAACCTTATCATGGGGCTCGGCCTGCTGCCCGCGGCCGCATCGAGTCGGCGGAGGCGCGCGAAACGAGGGGCCGAGGAATCCCATCGAGGCCGGGAGGGTGATGCCGATACTCGCTCAGAAGAAAGCCAAGAAGATTCGCAAGGCATGCAACCGAACGGTCCTCTTCTTCCTTCGAGTTCGTTTGTTGTTGATGCCGATCGTGTAATTTCTGCGTAGATCATCCTCAAGGAGGACGTCACGGAGCTGGGGAAGAAGGGGGATCTCCTTGACGTGAAAGCCGGGTACTACCGCAACTTCCTGCTACCCACGGGCAGGGCTCAGCTCGTCACCCCTCTCTTGCTCAAGTGCGTTCCCTTTGGCTTCTTCTCCACCTCTCTCTCCGTTTAGTTCATCCATAAATTATGTTATTTTGAGTTTTTTTGTTGAATGAAGTCCTGTGGCTATAAAATGCGTTCTAGTCTTGTGATCATTGTTGTCCGTACTTGAGGAAATGTTGAAATTTAGCGCCTAGGACACCATTGTTGGCCTTTTTTTTGTAAAATTCTATAAAGAAATGATGGGATATAGAAGTTAGATTGTGGAAACAGTAATGTCGCGAAAAGAGAATATTTTCGATTAGCTATTGAAACAGTCGTCAATCTGACTATTGTGATTAAATAAGAGAGATAATTTCGTGTTTGAGGGACAATGTTTGAGTTCTTTGCTTTTCTAATAAAAGCGTTAGAGACTACATTATAACTAACTAATGTTAAATTTGACCTTTTCCCCTTTAGGCTGAAGACCCTTAATTTGTTAAAGTTTAGATTTTGCTACGGATGGTCGCATGGTTTTGTCAATAAGATGTCTCCTGTTGTGTAGCCCATTTGGACACGAATTTGTCAGCTGCTCACTGGGATTGTCTCTTTAGTTATTGATTTTTCTCCTTGTGATCCAGGCAGCCCACTGACTCAACATCTAATTCAATCTAAGATTGCCCTTCATGACATGGCTCAAAGTGTCGAGGCCCAAGTTATTGGAAGAGGGCCATTTGGCCATATATTATTGATTCTTCAATTCTTATCTCCGAGTGTAGATCATAAAATGCAGTATAAGAATTGTTATAATTAATCACTCAAAAGATACCTGGCTCTGTGACTGCTCTGTTGTTCAAAGCAAGTAGCACAAAGTTTTGGGCTGGAAAATCACATCATTCAACAAGCACATATTGCATTCATTTTGTTACATGTTCAAAAAGAAATGTGTTCAAATGTTAAACAAGTTTTGCAAAGCGAAGCCTACACTGAGATGGCAAAATTACTCTAAGCATCATGTTTTCAAGTTCCTAAGTGAAAAAAGAAAGAACTCATCCTCTTTATTATTATTTTTAAACTTCCTTGCATATTGCATAAGGCCAAGTCCATCAGTTTCTTAAAACGACCACCAATCAATTTTTCCAAGAGCCATTTATCTTGTTTTAGCCTCATTAGTCTTTCATCTTTCTTTGTATATTTGATTAATAGAGGGGAACATGAACCGCAACACTCTGTAGCAAAATAGCTATAAAATCATTAGAACCATATGAAAAAATTCGTTCTGTAGTAGCAATTAGTTTTAGTTGTAGAAATTTTGTATAGCATTTTTAATACACCCATGCACTCTGCATTGGCAGATACAATAAGCTGAACATGATAAAATTAGAAATTAATGAAATTGTTCAGTTGGTAGCTCCCTCAAAGCTTGTTACAGGTTATCTCTCCATTTAAACAATAGGGATGTTAGGCTTTATTCAAACTTAATCAAAAGATGAAAGAGAACCACGTTTGACCTTCCATCATAGCGTGGTGGCAAATTTACTTGTAAGTTGAAGCATTTATAGATTTTCTATGTCCTAAGTTACTGCAAACTTTCCATTTGTTTGTAGAATGATTATTCATCTGACAATATGCCTCTAGAAAGAGGTTCTTTGAGTTGAAGATGTTTATTATGCACTCTATCATGTGTTTAAAATCCATAAGATTGTCATTTCTAAAGAGTGCATTTATTTTGGGCTAGTCTCTGACCTATTTTAAACTAGTTTCTGAACTAGGTCTAGTGCAATTCACCAAATTATCCATGATATGTAAGATGGTTGCCACCAATATGAATTTTCAAGGCAGTAACTTTTTGACAAAACTTGCTTAGGTTTCCTTGTCTTCTGGATGCATTCAGGACATGAACCATTATTTCATTGCTTTCAGCTAGTTTGGAATTATTTACTAGAATCACTTCTCTAAGAATTTGTTAAGATATTGTGAGTTGAGATGTTGATCTACAAGCTAATTATTCTTCTCAGTTGATATTTCACCATGCTTGCATTTGGAACTAGATGTATCTACCTTATCTTTTTTTTTCTCTATCTAGGGAAATGCGGATCGAGGAGGAGAGAATTGAGGCTGAGAAACAGCGGGTGAGATCTTATTCTGCACTCATTGTGTAGCTCTATTCACATTGAGTGAACTCCAGCCTGTTTGGTGAATTCCTTGCACCAATGTACTTTTTCAAGTGTGGGATTTCATTTTATCGCTTGATCCATTGACGACTTCAAACGACCAGTGATCTTACTGACAGGTGAATGTTGGTTCTGGAAGTATGCAGGTCATGTTAGTTCACAGAGAATCATAGTAAAATCATATTTGTTAGAATCACTCTTAGACTAGAAGCTTCGTACCTATGCTGATTACTTTGTCCACTATTTTGGGCCATCTTCTATTACAGCTATTTAGACTAGGGCTGTGTAATCCTTTGATTTTTCTTTGTGGTATTAGCAAATATAAAAACGAAAGACATATCTATTGCACGAGACTCTCTCTAAAGCAAGGTCCGGGAAGGATCAATGTGTGCAGTTTTACCTTTAAATAATTAAAGAGATTATTTTTTATAACTCAAATCCTGGTCGTTGTAAAATAACAACATTACCATTGTACCAGGTCTGCCCTTATTGTTTCTGTTATTAGCAACGTTCTAAAACATTTACTTGGCTACGAATCATACAGGAGAACTATATTCAAGATGTAAACTACAGCAGCTGCAAGATGAGTATTTAGGTTCATAATCATATTCATAGACATTTTAAAATTTTAGACTTATGGTTGTGGGATGACTTCAGCTAATTTTCAGTTACTGTTGCCATTACTAGTCACTCCTTTCTACAATTTTCACTTAGGTGGTTGCATTTTTCAGAGCACTAAAAATCATCGACAGTTCTTACGGTTTTCATGTTTATTGATGTTCAGTTATATTTTTTCAGAGCCATAAGCTTCTTGTTTGCTTTTCATGTTTAGTTATGCAGGTGTTGTCGTTTGTTCCATCTTGTTTCTGGAAGGTTTTGCTTGCTTCCCCTTTTGTTTCTCTTAGTATCATTGTTTAGTCTTCAAGTTTTCGTAACATGTGAAGTAAATATGTTGAAAGTTGCTTTGTGTTTCGTATATTGGTTTATTAACCAGGTGAAAGAAGAAGCACAACAGCTTGCGCTGATTTTCCAGACAGTTGGAGCATTCAAGGTGAAACGCAAAGGTGGAAAAGGAAAACAAATATTTGGAACGTGAGTTGTACTACTATAATCCAACACCAATAATTTCAGGCATTATAAGATTTTGTCTGCATTTTGACATCATCAATTGTTTTTGCTAGTGTTACTGCCCAAGACCTTGTGGACATCATAAAGGCACAACTAAACCGGTATGTCTAAATTAAAAAATAATCGCAGTGGAAACTGGCATATATTATTTATTACTCTTTCATATTGGATTATTTCGTATTTGTTTCATCAGGGATGTTGACAAAAGAATCGTCACTCTTCCTGAGATCCGTGAGACGGGGGAATACATAGCTGAGCTCAAGCTTCATCCGGAAGTCTCTGCCGTAGTGAGATTGAATGTTTATGCAAATTAGCACCTTCAATCGCACCGGAGACAGGGAGGAAAGCCCATCCTTCAAAGAGTAAGTAAATTTTTATCAGATCAATGATACTTTTGTTTTCAGACATCAGACTTAATAAACCAACTGAAGTTAGAAGGCTACCGAATTCTCCTTCAGATCTTTTTCAGCTCACAGCTTAGATATCCTCCACATGAAACCCATTACTTATGATGTATATTACAGTGAAGTTGCAGAAGAACAGATGGGGGTTCACATGGAAGAGAGAGGCATAATAATCCTAGCGAGGTGACCTGTATCAAATTCAGATTATTCAATCCGAGCCACATTTTGTTGAGCAGTAATGTTTTCAACAGATTTCCTGCATTTTCTGTAAGGCTGCAAACTGATACCTGACCAGCGGAAGGATGATCATGTGATTTATGCTTAAATTGCATCTTCATGTTATGGCTGCATTTTATTTTAGGTATCCGAAAGCGCTGACCATATTGGTGGACGTGGAGACCATGTCACGGTTTGCAAGGGGGAAGCTCAAATCGTAGACGTCGGAATTGCACCTGACAGCGAACCGCACGAGTTTTGGGATCAGGTATTGGTTTGACCGGATGGTCAACGTACTATATTTAATAATTTTTTTATTCAAAAATAAGATATAATTATATGTATTATACTAAGAATTTAAAATATATGAATAATATTATAAAAATATGGTGACGGAAGCAGACATGGTATTCAAGATTGAAACAGTTTAACAGTGAATTAAACCTAGGTTTGCTAAATCGGTTATTTATTGGTTCTTGGGTTGTAATGTAGGCATTCTTGTTCACTTTCATGTGTACATATGATGTCAAACAAGGCGAGGAGAGAAGAAGAGAGCGGTAAAAAGAAATAAAATATGAAAGAATAAATGAGAATTTTTTTCTCTCTAAAGAGATAACTATGAATTAATAATTTCAAATGTAAAAGTTTAATAAGATTTTAAAAATAAAAATCTCCATCAATCTTTATTCCTTTCCCATTTATAGATCCTTGGACGTTGAATGATTGAAAGTCAAGCATAAAACATAAAACATATTAAATTCATAATGTATTGTTCTTTGATTATTTTAAATTTGTATAATTATTTCGAATTATTTTCTTAAAATCGGATAGAATTGGACTTGAAATTTATTATCTTAGAATTTGGGAGCATTCAAAGCTCACTATGTACTACATCATTCTCCCAGGTGAGAAAGAACTCACCCATGAGTTATCGTTAATATTACCATGGTAAACTAATAAATCTTGAATGTTAAAAATGAAGTGAGTACTAATATTAGGAGGAAGTTCAATCCTGTAAGTATTGTCATTAATTCTCTTGAGAACTCAAGAGAGATCAATTTTTTTTTTCTCTTTGAGTGTATTGTAAGTTCCTACTATGAAATATTTTTTTTCAAAAATACCCAAACAAGATCTCCTCCTTCAATGATCATTACGCTTCGATGTTTGTTGGGCTTTTTTTTTTAAAGCTTGTTTACTAGCTTCAAGCTTCTTTTTTACTTTTTTTAATGAATTTTTGTCATAGTAATAGTAAAATCATCTCCAACTTTGAAAAGATAATTCAAATACTTTAACAAAATCTAGATAATGAGGTGAAACACAATCATAAACAATCCCAAATAGACTCTTACCCATTAGAAACAATTAACCGTAGAGTTATAAGCAAATTGGGCATGAGGTAACATGAGATCTCTGTTTTGACCTTTTTGCGGTAAAGCATCAAAGTAGATTACCCAAGGTTCTATTAACAACGTCAATTTCTTCATATAAGTATTACTATATAATAGGCCAGTGCCAAATTTTCTCCATAAACTTTTCAAAAAATAACTAAGAAATTTAGTATCTCTATTTGATACCATAGATTTAGGACTTCCATAAAGTTTGGTCACTTCATTCAAATAAATGTTAGCAATATAAAAAAGACTAATAATGAAATGTGTTATTGGTAGACTAATCATAAAATCTATACTAATGTCTTCCCATAGAGTAAAAGATTATATGCACCAAGATCCTAAATTTGCCATTTTGAAGTTTAGTATATTTTACATCTTTTCACATAATATGTAACATCTCGGTATATTATTGACCAAAATATTTTATTTTAATGAGAAATTCTATTTTATCTCTAAAAAATGACCTCATAATCCATTAAAGTACGATTCTTTAATAATATGCTCTCTTAGAGAATATTTAGGAATACAAAGTCGAGTTCCACGAAAGGGAAAATCATCTCTAACAAAATCTTCATGATGACTATTCGTGCATAATTTTTATATTTATTTAAAATCTTCGTCATTAGAATAAGTATTTCTCATTTCATCAAATTCATTTAGTTGAGCTCACTTAATACAAGCGCTAATCATCAATTGAGTCCATTTGTAACCTTATTACACATTCCATCCTTAGTAAAAATATCACCCATCTTGCATGTTGTTTATTGATATTTGCTTGATAATTTATATCTTTAAAAGCTTCAAATTTAAGACAAATTCTCTTTCAATCAAATAAGTTGAATAGTTAAATAATAGCATAAGATTTAATATTATAGGTTGAATAGTTCTTTCTTATATTATTATGCTTTTCACCAAAGAATACAAGTGGATATCTTTCTTGGCTAAATACTCCACCAATACCCACGTGAGAGACAACACAATCAACTTTAAATATTTAAAAAAATCTGATAATATAAAAATAAGAGCAATGGATAATTTTACCTTTAATAGTTCAAAACTGTTATTTATCTTATATGTTCATTGAAATACTTTTTTTCTTTATACAATCAATTAGAGAAGCTACAATAGTGTTAAAATTATGAACAAATCGACGATAAAATGTTCATGTTGACCAAGTCTATAGGGATGTTCATGTTGACCAAGTCTAGATAGCATTAATCTTCTCAAAATCCACTTGGATACTGTAGGGCTTATGATTAAGCGTAGAAAAGCTAAGTTAGTTGTCATGAAAGAATACTTCTTAACATTTATATATCTTTTTTGCCTTGAATATTGATAGAATAGTTCTCAAAAATTTAATATGATCAAGTTTTTTATGACTATAAATAAGAATATCATCAAAGTAAACAACAACAAACTTCCTACTTCCTAGTCTAAGAAAATAGAATTTGATTTATTAGTCGCATAAAGGTGCTCGGAGTATTTGGAAGTCCAAATAGTATAACTAGTCATTCATATAAACCTTCTTGAGTCTTGAAAATAGTTTTTTATTCATCTCCTGGTTTAATACGGATTTAGTGATAACCTCGAAGATCAATTCTAAAGAAAATTTGAGCACTAGTAAGCATATCAAAAAAATCCTCGACATATGGAAAAGAAAATATATACTTGATGGTAATCCGATTAATAGTAATGACTATCGATGCACATCTACTACGTTCTATCCTTCTTTGGAGTCAATAGAGCTAGAATGATACGTAGTCAATATAACCTTTGTGTAGTAGATCCATAACTTGTCTATTCAATTTTTTATGTTCTTTTGGACTTATCTGAGAATAAAATTTGTTTAGCAAAATTGCTCTTAGAATTAGATTGATTCAATATTGAATGTCTCGAGGAGGCAAGCCACTAGGAAGTTCTTTAGAGTAGATGTCTATGAATTTCTTCCAAATAGCTTCTACTTCATCATTTTTTATAGGCTATATAAATTCTTTAGTAGCTAATATAAATATAACTCGACTTTTTTTAGTTTCTCTTAAAACTTATTTAGAGTAAAGAAGTTATTTTCCTGCTTTTGGGTTAAAGGTTTAGGAGCAAGCTCTTCTTTATATGACAAAAGCACAATTCTAACTTCATTGAATTTAAAAATATAGGTATTCTTTCTACTATCATGGATAGCATGCCTATCGTATTGTTGTGGTCTTCTCAATACTGCATCGATTAGTTACTGATACCCTATTATCTTTCATGAACCATACAATCCGATATGGTTTAGGATATGGTTCTATATTGAGCTTGAGCTTATCTATCATATCTTGAGATACAATATTTTTACAATTGTGATTATTAATATAATATAATAAATTTTGTATAGAGGCTTATAACATATATTGAAAATATTATTTAGTAATCATTCTTCATTGCAATCATCTCATGGAGTAGTAAGCGCTTTATGTATTACCAAGCATTCACCTTCTTTAGGTATAATTTCTTCATAAGCCTCCTCATGATATTGATCATATATTAGTTTTTTAATATCTTCAAGTTTTTCATTGTCATCTCCTTCGTAGAGGTGGCTCGTGCATCAGCTTGTCTATTTGGGCACTCATTCATGTAATGTCTTATTTGTTTACATTTAAAGCAAGTAGGAGATGCATTTTTCATTATTCTACTAGCCTTTGATTCACTAGTAAAGAGATTAGAATATCTCTTTGCTCTCCTTCTAGTAAGTTTTGCTTCAACATTTAGTGCTAATTGATAAGCATCAAATAACCTTCATAGTTATTATATCTCCACTTCATCTCGAATTATAATTCGTAGGCCACCGATATATCTTACAATAAGTTATTCTTTTATCTCTTGAATATTATTTCAGGCTATCGGCATATAGAATTCTTCAATATAGTTGATCATGACTTTGCTACCATGCTAAAGATTGTTAAATTATGAAAAAAGAGTTTGAATATTACCAAATAGAAAAAATTCTCACGGAGCCGAGATTTCATTTTCCTTTTTTGAAGGTGCATCTCTTTAAACTTTGTCTCACTAGATTGAATAGATTGAAGTATAACCTCGAAGTCTTATAGCAATTAATTTTATCTTTCGACATTTAAGTATCTTCTGGTACAGGTTGAAGTCGATTGAAATCTTCATCTTCCTTTTCTGAAAGTGCATTTAACTTTGTCTAAGTATAACCTCGAAGTCTTATAGCAATTAATTTTATCTTTCTGAGGTTTCAAAAATAAGAATTTTCATTAATCTTTCTTCTTTTCCTATAGATGTAAAGTACATTCAATCCTTCAATCATATGCACAAATTATAATAATGCATATTCAATCCTTCAATCATCTGCACAAATTATAATACATATTAATTTTTCTTCTTTTCATAAATTATAATAATGCATATTCAATCCTTCAATCATCTGCACAAATAATGCATATTCAATCCTTCAATCATCTACACAAATTATAATACATATTAAATTCATAATGCATCGTACTCTGATGGTTTTAAATTTTTATAATTATCTTAAGATATAAATTATTTTGTTAAAATTTAGTTAGATTAAACTTGAAATTTATTATATTGAAACTTGAAGCATTTGAAATACCAACTCATACCTATTCGATCGTAGATTGCCACAAGTTGGATAATTGACAATGCAAACCTTGAATTGGGCCAATCGAGGTATAATTGATGATGCAAACGTTTATAATCGACAATGCAAACCTT